CTCTCTCTCTCTCTCTCTCTCTCTCTCTCTCTCTCTCTCTCTCTCTCTCTCCCCAACCAACGTAAACAGCGTTCAACGCATCTTGCCAATCAAGGTTCCCGCGAGCGACACAGAACGAAGGTTATTTTAGGACACAAAAACAGCTGACTGCCAGGAAACCCCGCAAGTTATTTTTAGCCACAGCCCGGAAAAAGCGCTGACGAGCGAAAGGGGGTCAAAGGTCGCGCTGTCTCGAGTGTGGCGGTGTGACCGTGTAGCGCTGAGGCAGACGACGAAAATGAGAATCTCCGCCTCTCTCTCTCTTCTCTCTCTCTCCCTTCTCTCTCTCTCGTTCCCGACATGACACAGGAGGGTACTGTCGAGTGGATTATTTCTATGCTTCTTGTTGTTCCGAAAGGTAAGTGTTAGGCTACAGTGCGAAGTCTAAGCTGCCAAAGATAGTTTGTATCATAACACAAAGTATAATCTAGCAGCGGAACCCCGATTCCTTTTGGCCACAATATTATGACACAGCATACGCTGCCAGCAGTTTTATTTTCGCTTCACCGGTATTATTGATTATAATACCTTGATTCACAGAGCTGTCTTCCTTATTTTACATTAGCGAATCTTTTCTACATTCCGTCAGCAATTGATTGTCGTCCTTCTCATTCCCTCAACCCCCCCCTCTCCCTCTCCCTCTCTCTCTCTCCCTCTCCCTCCCTCTCTCTCTCTCTCGTGTTGTGTGTTCGAGCGTGTAAACACCTTCACCTTGCTCCAGCTTACGCCATCAAGGTCTCTGTTCACCCGTGCTGCTCCAACATGTGTTTTATGACGTCGATCGCATCGCGAGGGAGAGAAAAACAGATAATGTGAGTGCGGTTTTGTCGGGTTTATCAGCTGACATGACAAACAATCTTTCAAAACAGCCATCTCTATCTTTCCTTCTGCTGCAGTTAGGAGTTAAGCCTTCTCAAACCCTTCGGTCGCTAGCTATTGTGTAGCCCGCTACGTTTTGTAAACTCTGGTACATGAGGGTGTGTCTCCTTTCTTTATCAGTGTGATCTGTTCTGAACTGTTCACAATGACGGAAAAATATCGTTCATTTCCTCCTTGACATACGGATAGAAGTATATAATAATATATACAATATAACGTGGGGTAAGTTCCAGATCTCTAGCTTAAGTCGCGCGAAATGAAGTCTCACAGAGCAAGATTCGTTGATTTTGTTGACTAAGGTTTTTACAGTAAGTATCCAGGCTTGGTTATAGTAGTCAGTCACTGTCTTAAATTCCTTATTACTTGTGGGTTATCCTACTGCGCACATGGCATTTTGTAAATGTTGATTCTCCCCTTTCTGCGTGAGTTTCTATAGGCTATTTTCTCATCCTCTGTCTTTGCAAAATCCAAGCTCTCTCTCTCTCTCTCTCTCTCTCTCTCTCTCTCT